CAGTCTTTCCTGCCCGGGCTGGCTTTGAACCGAGATCCTCAGATCTCAGCCTCCTGAGTAGCTAGGATTACAGGCGTGAGCCACCAGCGCCCGGCAATGTGTCACTCTTCTAAGAAAAGGAATGGCTTAGGAGATGCCAGCACACCAGCAGTAGATATGAGTCAATTTATTTTGTAGAAATATACATATTAACACTATATACAACACTAATTTTAATTATAAATGATCTATATCTTTACATAGACAAGATACAAACTGTTAGTGTTTATAGTAATACATTGTCTTTTAAAAAGCAGTACTGTTACATGTATAAACAGTTTCTATGGAAGGCAAACTTGTCTTTCCTTCATTCCTTACCCCGCCCCAAAGAAAAAAGAATTTGACAGTTAAGCTCTTTAAAACTCAACATTAAAAAAAATCTAGTAGAAACTCCTCTTATAGGAAAAAAAGTCACAGATAACATTCCTGTAGAAAATGACATTAAAAGTGGTAACTCCAGATGGTGTGTGTGTAGTGGCAGCATTTCTTAGGAATCTATAGGAAGGCATTTAAGTCAGCAAATACTGAGTGCTCATTTCAGGCACTGTGCCAGGTGTAACAAGGGAATCATAAATGAACAAGAGAAGTTGTTTTAAGGAACAGAATGTGATGTTAATGAAGTAAAGACTATAGGACATAGGAAAGAGAGGCATGGCCCAGTTGGTAGAAAGCTAGCCATTGAGCAATAGTATCAAGTACAGAGTTCAAGTTCCAGTCTTGGACTTAAAAAAAAAAAAAGGAATCCAGGCACCGGTGGCTCACACCTGTGATCCTAGCTACTCAGAAGGCTGGGATCTGAGGATCTCGGTTCAAAGCCAGCCCGGGCAAGAAAGTCCGTGAGACTCTTATCTCCAATAAAGCACTAGAAAACCAAAGTGGCTCTGTGGCTCAAGCAGTAGAGTGCTCGTCTTGAGCTGAAGAGCGCAGGGACAGTGCCCACAGTTCAAGCCCCATGACCGACAAAAAAAAAAAGGAAAGACTGGATCTAGTCTGAAGGAACAAGGAGAAAAAGATTAAGATCATCTGTTGTAAAGAAATGTGAGATAGGGCTGGGAAGGTGGCTCAGTGGTAGAGTGCTTGCCTTGCATGCATGAGGCCCTGGGTTCAATTCCTCAGCACCACATAAGCAGAAAAAGCAGGGAGTAGGAGAAGGATTGGGATGGGGGGGAGGGGGGAGGCTGGGAAGGGATGTGAAGGGTAAACAAAGGAGGAGGCTGCAATGCTTGGGCATTATCCTGCCCATGTAATTGTAACCCCTCTCACAAATAAAATAAAATAAATAAAAAGAAAAAAATAAATAAAAAGAAAAAGCAGGGAGCGGCGCTGTGGCTCAAGTGGTAGAGCTCTTGCCTTGAGCTGAAGAGCTGAGGGACAGTGCCCGGGCCCAGAGTTCAGGCCCCATGACTGGCAAAAAAACCAAAAAAACAACAAACAAACAAACAAAAAAAGAAATGTGAGATAAGCAGACAAAGATGGGGCTGAAGTTGATGAATGAAAAATCAAAAACTGTGAACACAGAAAGGTTAGGGTAGGGTTAGATAAAATCTATGTTTGACCAGAGGAATTGTTTCATGCTAAGCCACAGTGAATGTCACTGAAAACTTAAGAGTAAAGATTAAATTACATTAGAATCATGCTTTTGGAAGTGAACTCTAACTGTTTAAAATGGACCATAAGAAGGCATTGAAATTTGTGTAGCCTGTATGCTAGACAACTGTTTGCCACTGTCCTACACCCCTAGCCCAGAAGAAAAGTAATAGCGTAACAAGGACTTGCAGCAGGGCAATGACAAAGGAAAGGATACTAGAATATTACAAAATTATTGCTGAGGCTTAGAAGCAGATTTTGGAACTTTTATGGAGTCTATATTTCATAAGAAAACAGAATTGAATAGGTAAAGAATAAGTTGGATGTCATATGAAATTCAAACTGCTTGAACACTCACCTGGATATTCACAGCTATTGGAAATGTGGTCTGTAAACAGGGATTTGTAGGACAATGGAGAGAATAGGTCTAAGACTTGAACTAGAATAAGGGATTTGGGGACCACATTGTAGATTAAGAGTCCTGTCCTTAAGCCAGTTATGGTGATGCCTGTGCCTGTGCCTATAATGTGAAAGATTGAGAGACACTGTCTCAAACACAAAAGGAGAGTCTGTCCTTGCTTTATTCTAGTGATTGAACTGAACAAATAATTTTCTCTTAGTGTCACAGGAGAAAGTGATATATTAAAATTCAATACCTATCTTCAAGTGTAGAATATAACAGGACAAATTGGACTCACCCTCTGGGAGAGCATGGTGATTATACTTAACTGCAATGGATCTCAAACTAGTCTAAAGCTGAGCACAACGGATGCACACTCCAAGACATATTGTATACACCATAATATTTCAATATTGTAACTAAATTTCCAAATATGAAGCTTTTCTCATTTCCAGATACCCTACTGACAAATTTTAAAACATATACTTGGCTAGTAAAATTATAAAGCTGTCTTCTCCAGTTAATAGTAGTATGCTGACAGCCTACTATGAAGAAGTCTGATGTGATGACTATATTTAAATAGATATAACTTCAAACTCAAAGAATCAGGCTGGAAAAGAGAAGTATTTGGAGCAGCCAAAGGACAGTAAATACATTCAAAAACTGGAGAAGAGGTTGGAAAAAGGTTCAAAAATGTGGGATGATGAGAAAACAAATTATTCTCATTTTCTTAGGACTTAGGGGAGGCATTCTCCGCATTCCCGACTGCTGCAGATACAGGAGGTGCACTGGTTAGGGCCACTCACTAACAATGCTGTCCTTACCCTCATTCAGCCTAACATCCCTTGTCTAGGTTAATTTCAGCATCCTTCTTAGCTTTTTAGTTGCTCTTCTCTCTCTTTACAAATAGAAGGAGATGCCTGAAGAAATGTTCGGGCAGCACATGTACCTGTGTAATAGATCCATTTATGGACTACAGTCACTATTATTTTTTCCTTTAACATGTTAGCTGTCAATAGCTGTGAAGTGATGTTTGTTGAAAGCTTTGTGCCAGGGCTGGATGTGATGGCACAGATCTGATAATCCCAGCATTAAAAAGTCTGAGGCAGGAAGATTGAGCGTGCACGTGCCGGTTGTGGAGCTTGAACTCTGGGCCCAGTCGTTGGCCCTGAGAGAGAGAGAGAGGAGAGAGAGATAGAGAGAGTGGTGTGTGTGTGTGTGTGTGTGTGTGTGTACGTGCCTGTGCCTGTGCCTGCCAGTTGTGGAGCTTGAACTCTGGGCCCAGGTGTTGGCCCTGAGCTCTTCAGCTCAGGATGAGTACTCTACCACTTGAGCCACAGTACTACTGGTTTTCTGGTGGTTAATTGAAACTAAGAGTCTCTCAGCCTTTCCTATCCTGTCTGGCTTCAAACCGAGATCCTCAGATCTCAGCCTCCTGAGTAGCTGGGATTATAGGCGTGAGCCATGGGCACCCAAGCTTGTTAAAAACTCTCCCAGAGCTAAGTAAACAGTTAATACAATCAGCCAAACATGAATTTCTGAACATTTGTACTAGCTTTGTCTTCTGTTTGTATGTGTGTGTTGTTTATTTAGAACTGTTTCTTGATTCAGCAAAGTATCAAAAGATACAGCAGCCTCATAGGTATTTCTTAGATTTTTGAGGCATAAGCCAAATAATATAGTCATAGGCTGAGAGACCAAAGAGGAAGGGGCTGATCTCCAAATAACTTGTTGTTTTACTAAATGAGAGACAGTGATAATTGCCAGACAATGAAATAGAAAGATATATCTTGGCCTCCAAAGAGAGTACAGTATAAGCTGCAAAGATTTTAACATGGAAGATTTATTCATGTCATTTTGAGTAATGTGAGCACCAAGAAATATTGGTTTACCTGTATGAGAGAAAAGACTTGGAAAGATGGTATGTTAAGAGTTGTGTGTGAGGTTGCACAGTTTACAGTGATGCCAAAACTAGATATGGTCAGGAAAAACTATAGCTGCCAATTCTAGATCATTTGTTTGCAGAAAACAGTGTCCACAAGGTCTCAGGATTCAGTAATTCTCTTGACTTCTGAGAGCACATGGTCATGGGGCTTGAACTGGGTGCTGAGTACTGTCTCTGAGCTCTTTCACTCAAGGCTAGCGCTCTACCACTTTGAACCACAGCTCCATTTTCAGTTTTCTGGTGGTTAATTGGAGATGAGTCTCTTGGCATTTCCTGCCTGGGCTGGCTTCGAACCCCTATCCTCAGATCTTAGCCTCCTGAGTAGCTAGGATTACAGGCATAAGCCACTGGCGCCTGGCTAGGAAATCTTTAATAAAGAAGCAGATAGGAAAAACTTTGTACACTTTAATGAAATATTTTATGGATAACTTTGCTCTTAAGATAATTTATAATTTAATCTCAGTCAACAAAATGTACATTATGAAAATCAGGACTTTAACTAGTGGAAATTTCATCTTTTTGCTGATCAACAATTTTGTGAACAAGGTTGTTCAGATGTTAAACAAAAAGTATACCGAATGAATACTATATATATATATATATATATGTATATGCATATATTTACATATATATGCAGTTCTGTGGCTTGAGCTCAGGGCAGGTATGGGCACTGTCCCTGAGCATCTTTTGCTCAGCACTAGCACTCTACCAGTTGAGCCACAGCGCCACTTCTGGCTTTTTCTGTGTATGTGGTACTGAGGAATCGAACCCAGGGTTTCATGCATGCTAGGCAAGCAGTCTCCCACTAATCACATTCCCAGCCACTGTAAATCTTTTCTAATGAGTTGTACAGACAGTTAAAAAAATAAATTATTTTAATTACTAAGCAGGCCATATCATAGAATGATTAAAAAAAAACTCTCCAAAAATATACAATTTAATGTAATACTGGCTTAGATTTTGTGTTTTTCTGATATGGTAATTCCAGTTCATTTTTAAAAACACAATATTATAGGAATTAACATTCTTTTTAGGTCTTAATACCACCGATATGTTTCTTACTATAGTAAGGGATATTGTGTAATATAAAACCTGTCATATTTTGCTATTAAAAATATAATAATTTTTGTGTTGAACTAGCTTTAAAAAAAGAATGTACTAAATGAAAAGCCCATAAAATCATATGTATCCCTTTGCAAAGAAAAGCATCCCCATTCTTACAATTGGAAAAAATTCAGATTTCTATCCCTTTGCTTTGATGATATACCATTAATTCATGCCCAAAGATGTTCATAAAGTAGAAATACTTAAGCTAAATTACTGGAATTTCATTTCAGTTACTGAGGTAGCAGATGGCCATGTGTTTTTCTACTAAGAGATAGCAAAAATTCATCTAATGTTATGATTGAAAGACATGAATTTTTTTTTTTACCAGCAATTTGATATAATCATGATTTCTAAACCAAACACTGCATGGAAGTTCGCTCCTTGAGTTGTGATTGTTACTTACAAAGCTCTACCACTAGGGAAAATGTCACCTAATGTAAAAGAGAAAACAGCAGTGTGGGCAGTATAACAAAATACAGTACAAGGCAAGTTTTCTGGTCTCTAAAGAAATACTACATTATAATTTAGTGTGAATGTCAAAAATAATTCTGACCATCAAGTAAACATCAAAATTTTAATAAATAACACGTATGAAAAACAAACTTTAAAAAATAGCTACATATACCTAAAAAATAACTTCTTAAATGTGATGAATAGTTTGGTTAGATTTATCTTGGCAGTTCATTTTTATTAATGTTTGAATTGCTTTTACTCCATTCTGATGAATTCACATCCTTGGAATCACAGAAGAAATGAAACCAATACTGCTACAATATTGTGCCTTCCTGAAATGCTTCTATCCACCTATTGATAGAAAAATCTGTTAGATTTGTACAACCCAATCATTGATACATCTGAAGAGACTATACGTAATAGCTTGGCCTGTGGACCAGATTACCCTAACAGCATACTTAAGATCTTTCCTACAGCACATTGGAATGTTTGCATACATGAAGTGACCTTTTATTTAGTCCAAAACTTTACCTATTAAAATGAGTCTCTTCTGTAAGGCATGAGGAAGGAGCCACGCTTAACACACTTTGTGTGTTTTTATAGTCCTGATTTAATTGCTCCAGTATTTTAAAGGAATCAGACATTTAGTCCACTCCCAGATGATCAGAGTTCTGCATGCATTTCAGAATTTCACAGAAGTCTTTCTAAAATTTTTTAGTCTCAAAGCTTTGTCTGACAATGTATACAGCTGCAATTAAATTAGAAGACACAGGGGTAGTCACCTCCCTTCCTGTGTAATTGCTTCTAAACCTATTGTTTTCTTTCCTGATATATAATTTTTATCAGTAGTATATTCTGTACAGAAGAGATCCTGAGAATTAGGAAAACTTGACATTGAAATTGCTAATCAATTACGAGTAGCCCATGACAGATTCAGTTCAAGTTTCAAGGATAGAGTTTTCAAAACTTTTAACTTTTGAATATAAACAGCTTAAGTTGTAAACAAGTCTTTTTACAAGTTCAAAAATTTCCCAACAAAATTAACACATTTTGATATTCTGTCATGTATGAAAAATCAAACTCATATGCTCTTAATAACCTAGAAGAGAAATTTACTATTTAAATTGGATAAATTATAAACTACAAATGAGCAAGTTTGCTTTCTCTACCACATTTAATTCTACCTGCCCGAATTTCTATAGTATTAATCTAATGGTACAAGCAAAAAAAAGTCATGCTTATTAAAAGGTAATATCTAGGGCTGGGAAGGTGGCTCAGTGGTAGAGCGCTTGCCTTGCATGCCTGAGGCCCTGGGTTCGATTCCTCAGCACCACATAAGCAAAAAAGAAAAAAGCCGGAAGTGGCACTGTGGTTCAAGTGGTAGAGCGCTAGCCTTGAGCTGAAGAGCTGAGGGACAGCGCCCAGGCCCAGAGTTCAGGCCCCACAACTGGACCCAAAAAAAAAAAAAGGTAATATCTAACAGTAACAATGAACAATTACTATTTTCAGCTAATGTTTACAGAAAAAATAGCAAAATAACATAATATTAAAATATTCATCAGGGGCTGAGTACACTGGCAATCCTAGTACTGGGGTGGTGGTGGGAGTGGGGGAGGATCTTGAGTTTGAAGTCAGCCTAGGCTATATAGTGATTCCCAGGATAGCTTGGGCTAGAGTGGGACCTTGTCCTGACAAATGAAAATAAGCCAAGTGTTACAGCTCAAGTTTGTGAATCCTTGGGACTTGAGATGTGATTTCTTTTTTTAAAAAATACTTTTTTATTGTAAAAATAGTGTACAGAGGGGTTAAAGTTACATAAGGTAATGAGTATATTTCCTATCGAGCATTGAGATGTAATTTCAACTCAAGGCCAGCCTGGGCAAGAACTATTAGTTCCATTACCCACAGTAGCTGGGCTGAGCATCAGACATAAAATACAATGTGTATTTTATAAGCCAAAGTAAAAATAAAATGAAAGAGAGATGAATTGAGCTGTTTTGTTGATTTCACAAATACAAATATGCATCTTTTATCCTCATAACACCTAATTTTGCAATTGTGGAAACTATTCCAGTTTTTAACAATCTAAAATTTACTATATCACTGAGAGCAGCATGGAGCCTCTTAATATGTTTGACTTTGTCCCTAAAGTTAGTTGGCAAGCAGCTGTTTCAACTCCTATGGTCCATGGTACAATCGAATGAGTGGACTGCCAAATCCCAGAACATATGGAGGGAAGAGTCTTACCCTCCTAGAAGAGGTGAGGCCTCCCTGTGTGGACACATTTATACAAGGCCATCTGTTTGCAACTCTGCCTCCAAAAATTCTTCCAAATATTCTTGCTTAGTTTTAAAACAATTCTGAAGTATTTGAATAATACATGTTTTGTCTGTCTAATTTGGATCTTTTATTTAAATTCTGAGCTGTCCCCTTTCTTAAAGTAGATCCCTTTAAAATCATTTGCTGGGTGCTGGTGGCTCACACATATAATCCTAGTAATTCAGAAGGCGGAGATCTGAGGATGGCAGTTCAAAGACTGCCTGGGCAGGACAGTTTTGAGATTTTTGTTTGTTTGTTTTTGCCCATCCTGGGGCTTGAACTCAAGGGTCCTGGATGCTGTCCCTGAGTCTCTGTGCTCAAGGTTAGTGCTCTACCATTCGAGCCTCAGCACCACTTCTGACTTTTCTGAATAGTTACTGGCGATAAGAATCTCATGGCCTTTCCTGCTTGGGCTAGCTTCAACCAGACAACCCTAAATGGAGCTGTGGCTCAAAGTGGTAGAGCATCAGTCTTGAGCACAAAAGCTCAGAGACAGTACCCAGGCCCTGAGTTCAAGCCCCACAACCAACAATCAATCAATCAATAAAAATACAATCAATAATTTAACGTGACAACTTGAAATCTTGTGTACAAGAGGAAAATATGTCCACAGTACTTACTTCTGAGCTGAGTGAGCATCATCTGCTTTGAATACATAAAATACCATATTTTTGTGCAGTAACTGAAATACTTTAGACTCTGAATTTTCATCTTTGACTTGACTGACAGTGAATCCTAATAAAGGCTGACTCTCCAAAGCTGCCACGTCCTAATTTAACAACACACAAATGAAGATGGACTTTTAGATTGAGACACATTTCAAGATTGTAATATTGACATATATAGCATTCACTTAATCTCATATACACATATAAAATGTTAATCCTAGCAAGTTATTTTTATTTATTCAACAATATTTGTTGAGCCACCTTCATCCATCTGCCAGATACTGTACCTCTTTCAACATGTTCACAATTTTATTTCATATTATTTTCCCTATAGTCAGAGAAAGTAGGTGATTACACTGCCTTCATTTTATATGTGGAGAAAACAGCTAAATGATTTGCCTAGCTCCTAGTAAGGAGCTTGTACTCTAGAGGTTTTCATGGCTGTTAGAACATAGGGATCAGCTATCTAGCCACAGTTAGAAGAAACTTTACAACCCAAAAGCCTATATCATCTATGCTGATGCTGGATTATTACAATCTGAGGACAGTCTGGAGAATGTCACTCAAGAGAGCTTGGCAGAAAGGATAAGAAGCTCTGCGAGAAATTTCTAACAATTAAGTGACAACTCCCTAAGTAAAGAGTAAGATTGTTCTCATTAAAAATGGCAGCGCTCCGCCGGGTGCTGGTGGCTCACACCTGTAATCCTAGCTACTCAGGAGGCTGAGATCTGAGGATCACGGTTGAAAGCCAGCCTGGGCAGGAAAGTCCATGAAACTCTTATCTCCAATAAACCACTCGAAAACCAGAAGTGGCGCTGTAGCTCAAGTGGTAGAGCGCTCGCCTTGAGCTGAAGAGCTGAGGGACAGCGCCCAGGCACAGAGTTCAAGCCCCAAGACCGACCAAAAACAAAAACAAACCCCCCCCCAAAAAAAAACGCAGCACTCCAAAAGCAAAGCAATAAAGGAGGTTAGGGTTATATCTCAGTGAAAAAGTGTGTCCCTAGTAGTCCTTTGGCTGTGGGTTCATCTCCAGCACTTGGAGGGAAGGGGAGAGAAGGGGAACAGATGGAAGGGATGGAGCAGAAAAGGTTTGGGGAAGGGACAGTAAGGGGAGTAAGACAATATAAATATAAGATCTCTAAATTGTTCATCTTTATATTTCATGTCTTACCTCACTTGCAGCATAGGTATATAATACTTTGTTTTTTATGACAAACCACAAATGCTTCCATGTTTTTTTATTGCCCTTTGATCTGTACAAGTAGCCACTCATGGAAGAGTCTTCTGTGTTTGCTGATACCTAGATAAGAGACACAGTTAAATGGGTTTCAGACCAACAGTTGTTCACAATCATTAGACATTGAAAGCAGTTCTATAGCAATCGAATATTTCAGAATGAAATGATATTTTCAAAGGCTGTTGTAATATAATTTGAATACTTCTATAAACATGAGTATAACTCTGTCTTTTGGAAGCAATTCTAGAATTTTAGCTGTTAATTCCGTCATGCATTTGTGCTTGTATTTTTTATGGGTTCATCTGTATTTTCTGATGTGGTAGAAGAAATATGACATAAACCCTACAGAATGCTTTTCGAAAGCTGAATTTTAAGGACTATTTATAATCTATTCTTCTTAGGGGAAAATCACCTAAATCTTCAACATTGTGTCTAAAATAATTTTTTGTATTTCAAAAAACATTCAAAAGAATAGTAAATAGAACTTTTCTAAATTTTTGTTTTAGAGTATTGCACTATAAACCTCAAGCTTGCCTAGAACTTGAGATCCTCCTGCCTCCACCTATCACAGATGTGTACTGTCAGAGTTGATTGAAAATTCTAACAATGGCGAAGACTACGTATCAATCTTTGCTTTCCAGATTATAGCCTAAAAGTTTATCTTTGCTTCATGAAATGCTGAAAATGTTTTAGTCTTCATGCTAAAAGAAAATAAACTTTTGGGCTGGGAAGGTAGCTCAGTGGTACAGTGCTTGCCTTGCATGCCTGAGGCCCTGGGTTCGATTCCTCAGCACCACATAAGCAAAAAGAAAAAAGCCAGAAGTGGTGTTGTGGCTCAAGTGGTAGAGCCCTGGCCTTGAGCTGAAGAGCTGAGGGACAGCACGCGGGCCCAGAGTTCAGGCCCCACGACAAACAAAAAGAAAAAAAAATAATCTTTCGGTGAGTCTAATCTGATAATTCAGTTGTTTTTATCTTAAATTCAGTAAGAATATTTAAAGAAATCAAGTTCAGGATTTGCCTTATCAGTGGTGTGATGAGCACACTCTATAGTGGCTTCCCATGATCCTTGCCTCTGACAGTCACACATTATACTACATCTTCCCCTTGAGCATAGCCAGAACCTGTGACTCACTTCTACCAAAAAGAATAAGGTGAAGGTAATGGTATATCAGCTCCATGATTATGTAAGAGGCCACCTTGCCAAAACACTGGTTTTATAGAGTTTCTTGTAGCTATGTTGGGAGGCCCATGAGAGAAGTTGCTGATATTGTAACAAGCAGCAAAGGGCCCTCAGTCTAATAATGCAAGGAAATTAATTATGTCAAAACTTAAATGAGTTATGAAACAGATCCTTCACCAGATAACATTCAATAGTGGCCTAAAGCTCATATTCCTGTGGAAGTCACAGCTAAAACATGCCTACACTCTTGAGATAATACACGCATGATATCTTAAGACACTAACTTTGTTTTAATTTGTTATATAGCAAAACAGAAGTAGACTCGATGATGATTATGCTTAGTTACACTGAATACTGTGTACTTATGTAACTGTTAAACTCTTGTTCAAAATATTATATTCCGCCTTTAGAACTAATTTACCAGCCACTCAATAAGTAACAGTAAGTGCCCATGAATATTCCTCTGTTAATCCTTAACAATAAAAATTGATGTTAACTTTACCTGACTCTAAATTTTTCATTATTTTCAAAATAGTACTTAAGACTGTTTTGAATGAGGCTCAGCATGTAATTATAAAATGAGGGGGTTCCAGAAATATTTGAACATTAATGAAGAGGGGCAGAGCTCAGTGGCAAGCACTAGGGTATGTGAGGCCTTTGTTCAATCCCTAGCACTGTAAAACAAAACACAACTTCCCAGTGTCTCAAGGTTAAATTGCCATATAAACATGTAAGTCTATTAAGTATAATCCCAAGATACATGAATCTGTATGAACTTTTATGGCAGTACCATTTATAATAGTCAAAAAATGGAAACAAGTTGGGCACCAGTGGCTCACGCCTGTAATCCTAACTACTCAGGAGGCTGAGATGTGAGGATCGCAGCTCAAAGCCAGCCCAGGCAGAAAAATCTCTGAGATTCCTACTCCAATAAAATACTCAGATAAAGTCAGAAATGGCACTGTGGCTCAAGTAGTAGAGTGCTAGCCTTGAGCACAAAGAGGCCCAAGGAGAGCACCCAGACCCTGAGTTCATGCCCCAGGACTGGCCAAAAAAAAGATAGAAACGAACTAAATGTTCATTCAGGATTGAATGGTAACCTGTGGTATAGACTTACATGAACCTCAGAAATACTGTCATAGCATATACATCAGTATTATAGCTCTTCAGCTCTAGCCCATATTATATGATTCCTTTTATAGGATATATTGAGAATAGTCATTGTCTATGCCAGAGAGATAGAAAGATTAGAGGTTATAAGGGAGTAGAAGGATACTGGATAGATTAAAAAAAGCTTCTAAACTAGAAAGATATGATGATATGCCCAACGTGAATACTCTAAATGCCATTTAACTGTATACTTTATGATAGACAATTTATATATTATGTGCAGACCATGTGATGCTAATGAAATGCCTGAAATTATTCTTTGCACTTCATCCCTTAGGAGAAGACCCCCTCATGTAATAACCCGTGGGACCCTGATAATCAGTGTGGCCCATAAGTCTAGTAGCTTTTAAAAAGCCATGTGTGCCCAACTTCTGTTTACTTTCTCTCAATGCTATAACCAAATCCTTTCAGCAGCCATTTTCTAAATGACTCAGGTCTTCAGGGAGACAAGACAAGATTGTGAGGCATCAGCCATATCCCTCACAGTATTAAAATTCATAGTAATGGGAAATAACTTCTTTCTTAACCATAGAAAAATGAATAATATGAAAGATGAATAATTCAGCTGTATTATATTGTGGTTTAACACTTACTTCTTTGAGAGCTGCTGGGATTTTTTTCTGTCTCCTCCCTGGTGGGATACTTTGTAAGACAGATGATAAGGCACTTGAAGGAGATTTGTGGTTTCCAGGAGATCCAATTCTAGGGGAGTGCTGGTGACCTAAAACAAATAAAGTACATCCTAGTAGCCAATGTTAAGCATTCTGCATTGAACCAAGTAAAAATCAATCACACTGTTACACAAAATATCCATGGAAGGACACTCAAGAAAGACGATGATGGTGACAATGACGACGACGACAACGACGATGATGATGATGAGATGATGATGATGGAGAAAGAGAAGGAAGAGAAGCAGAAACAGCAGCAAATAAAAAATGATGGGTCTCAGAAAATAAAAATGGGTAACTGAAAACTGAGGAAGACTTGTTTTGCTATGTTTTATGTTTTTCTAACTATAATCTCTGTGTGTGTGTGAACCCATGTAAAAAGTGTGTGTGTGTGTGTGTGTGTGTGTGTGTGTGTGTGTGTGTGTGTGTGTGTGTGTGTGTCGGTCGTGGGGCCTGAACTCTGGGCCTGGGCACTGTCCCTCAGCTCTTCAGCTCAAGGCTAGTGCTCTACCACTTGAGCCACATCCGTCTTGTTCTGCTTATGTGGTGCTGAGGAATCGAACCCACGGCCTCATGCATGCAAGGCAAGCACTGTACCACTGAGCCACCTTTCCAGCCCAAGATAATCTTTTTGTGTCTTTAGAATGTGAAATAGGAAGCCGGAAGCTGGTAGCTCATGCCTGTAATCCTAGCTACTCAGGAGGCGGAGATGTGAGGATGGAGGTTCAAAGCCAGCCTGAGCAGGAAAGTCCGTGAGACTCTTATCTCCAATAAACCACTCACAAAACTGGAAGTGGCGCTGTGGCTGAAGTGGTAGAGCACTAGCCTTGAGCTGAAGAGCTGAGGGACAGCACCCAGGCCTAGAGTTCAAGCCCCATGACCGACAAAAAAAAAAAAGAAAAGAAAAGAAATACTTATATTCTACCATCTTAAAAAAGAAAAAGAAAGAAAAGTAAATACAAATCCAGATGCTGGCAGCTCTAGCTACTCAGGAGGTTGATATCTGAGGTCTGTAGTTTGAAGCCAGCCCAGGCAGAAAAGTCTGAGACTCTTATTTCCAATTAACCTCCAAAAAGCCAGAAGTGGAACGGTGGCTCAAGTGTTAAGAGTGCTAACCTTAAACAAAGAGTTCAGGGACAGTACCCAGGCCCTGAGTTCAAGCTCCAGGCCTGGCCAAAGAAAATCCCAAAAAACAAAAGGCAAAAGTAAATCCAGAAAATCTTACCTACTGACTTAAAAAAAAAAATCCACTGTTCTATACCTAGATACCAGATCAAATAATAACATCACAATGAACAGAATACTAGAAAAGGGCTGTGAACACAGATAGGAACCCCAGTAATTAATTCTAACCTTAGAGGGTCAGTGAATGCTTGGAAGGGAAGGGAATGTTTAAGTTGACCAATTAGGCATAAGAATGATTTTGCCAAGTAAAAAAAGGAAGAATACTACACAAGGGGGAGGGGTATGCATATCATCACATAGGTGTAAAATTACAGCATTTATTTGGACAGTAATTAAGCTGGGGGGGGAATAATATAGGGGAAAAGGCTTAGGCAGGCTGGTTCTAAGGAACCATGAATGCTATTTAGGCTCTTTTGGTTGGAAAACAGTGTAAACAGACTGCATCTAGAAAAGTAAGTCTGGTGGTAACCAGATTAGAGGGGTTTGCAGCAGGAAAATCTATTAGGAAATTAGTAACTCAGATATTATTAGAGATGACATTGAGAAATCAAGACACAGACGTTCTGAAATAAAATTGACAAGATTTACTAACCAAATAGATGTGAGTGATGAGGGAGGAAGATAAAACGATACCATTTGAGTGTCTGCAGCTTATAATACTATGTATCCAGGAACAAAGGAATTAATAGATGTGTCGTTTTGAAAACTGAACACAAACTATAATAAACTATTAATCTATAAATACATGGATTCCAAGTAACGTCAACTAGTTTGATATGTTAGTAATATTTACTAATGAAAAGCTATTTTTTCCATGCACACATAAGGGATAATCTTTATAAAGTTTAAGTTTCAGAAACTGAACTACCGATCTCTTCCCAAATTACTTTACTTGTAGGCAAATAATGCTTGCTAACAGTAAGTAGGCAAGTATGAAGCACATTTTGTTTTCATTAAAAAACCTGTAAGTATATAATAAAACCTGTAAGTATATAATCAAATCTCACTAAATCAATCCAAGCAACTAGAATTAGGCCAACAAAGTACTATCTTGTAAGCTGGCTCACACCTCTAATCCTAGATACTCAGGAGGCTGAAATCTGAGGATTGCTGTTCAAAGCCAGCAAGGCAGGAAAGTCCATGAAACTTATCTCTAATTAACCACCAGAAAATCAGAAGTGGCAGTATGGCTCCAAGTGGTAGAGCTCAAAGATAGTGCCCAGGCCCTGAATTCAAGCCCCACAACCACCACCACCATCAACAACAAGAAAGTACTACCTAGTATATCTCCATAAAGAATTACTTTGCAGGTAGATAAAAATGATTTTTAAATTAGCACAATGTTGTCAGAAATAATATACTGCAAAATAACATGAGTTAATGTTCTTTTTTTTTTTTAACCAGTTCAAGCATTTAATTTTGTAACTGCATTTCTACAATTAGTTTTCTTTTTTCTTTTTTTTGGGGAGGGTCCGGTCATGGGGCCTGAACTCTGGGCCTGGATGCTGTCCCTCAGCTCTTCAGCTCAAGGCTAGCACTCTACCACTGGAGCCACAGTGCCACTTCCGGCTTTTTTCTTATGTGGTGCTGAGGAATCGAACCCAGGGCCTCAGGCATGCAAGGCAAGCGCTCTACCACTGAGCCACCTTTCCAACCCTCTATAATTAGTTTTCTTAGCAAAACCTTTTCACTAAATAAAAAGAAACTTCAATGATTTGTGGAATTACCACATCATAAATTAAGATAATAAATTATGGTCATAAATTAAGAAAGCTTAATGTTAATTTTGAAGAAAATTTCAACAGTTCTTCCTAACATACCAAAGATGATTCTTTCAGAAGGTTGTCTGAAAGCATCTGAGAAGAAAAGGATTTTTATTAAATCTTTATTTACACTTACCTAATCTCTGCAATTCTTGGAAACACTGTTCACATACTCTTGCTAGTTGATTTTTCAGGTAATCCAAACCATACTTATTTGATGAACAAGCCTGACATACAATCTGAAAACACAGTGCAATTATTTCATTTAAAATGAAGTAATTCTTTCCTTTCCAAACCATAAAGTAGGTTTCTTTTTGTGCTCAGTTTCCATAATAGTTTCACAGTCACTAAATCACAATTTCATACAGTTGAGGTATATAGTGAACTATCTATATCTCTCTATATATATCTATCTATCTATATACATATAACACACACACACACACACACACATATATAGCTATGCACAGTACCACAGCTAAATGATAAAAAGACCACAGGTAATTATTATGTGCTTACTACTTGAGATGTTAATACATGAATAGTGCTTAGATAGTGTTAATATATGAACAGTGCCTAACATGGAATATGTTGTTAGTGGTATTGACCACCAGCATCATCATCGTTATAACCATGAATGTTACAATGGCCATTTCTCTGCTCATCTACCAAGTTTCTACTCTATATAAATGCTTTCTCTAAATGGATCTTTGTTTAATCTTTATAGCAACTGTCATTGTCACTATGCTCATTCTTTTAATAAGATCATAAAAGTTTGGATTGGATGGGCTGGGAAGGTGGCTCAGTGGTAGAGCGCTTGCCTTGCATGCATAAGGCCCTGGGTTCAATTCCTCAGCACCACATAAGCAAAAAGAAAAAAGCCGGAAGTGGCACTGTGGCTCAGGTGGTAGAGTGCTAGCCTTGAGCTGGGAGAGCGCCCAGGCCCAGAGTTCAGGCCCCACGACTGGACCCCCACCCCCCAAAAAAAGTTTGGATTGGAATGTCCCTCCCAAAGCCCAGATACTGAAGATTAGGTCCTCAGGTTGGTAGTAGGGGGAAGTAGTGGAAACTCTTGGGGGTGAGGAGGGGGTGAAGCCTAGTGGGAGGTTCTATTTGGTTGCCTTTCTAAAGGACTGTGGGCCTATCTACTCTTCCTCTCTCTTTTGAATTCTTATCCATGAAGTAGATGACTTTCCTGCCAGATGCTCTCATCAGTATGTGCCACCACAGGCCTTTGGAATAGGGCTAGTCAGTTGTGGACTGAAACCTCCAAAACTGAGCCAAAGTAAAACTTTTCATTTTATAACTTGATTGATCTCAGGTATTTTAATAGTAACAGAAAGCCTACTATCACCAATACGAACACTGAAAGGCCTTGCTACCAGATACTTAGTATCTAGATAAAGTCAACTTATGCAAGAGATTGTAAAATTTTCTACTGCATAATAAAGGGGCAGGAGTAGGGAAGTTCCCTAACAAGATTCACTGCTTCCCTAACCCTAAACATTTATAGAGAACACATCTGTGTTTTCTGCTATCCCTATGTTGTTAGTTTTTTTCTGGATATGTAGCAGTCACCCTAGGAATGGTAATTTCCCCCTCTGACCTTTCCGCAGGCTCGGCAGTGGTGCCGTCTCCAGGTCAGAGTGAATTCACTGGTGCAGATCATACACATCGTGGCTCTGGTATCAGGAATCCAAATGGGAGCCTTCGACCCAAGGGGACTGACTTCTTCTTTATTTTCTGAGTCTGCCTACAGAAGAATGACTTCTGATTACTTCCGTGACAGAGACTGCGATAGAATCAAGCCTTTTTAATTGCTGGTAGCATCACATAGTGCTTGATGGTATCATTAAGGACGTGGGAGGAAATGTGGATTATTATATTTTTTGTGCTCTGGGTATATAAGATGAACCATAGTAAAAAAAAATTAACTGTAAAAAGATGCTTGTGGTGGGATGACAGCTGATGAGCTGCTTTCTCAAACTATTCTGAGCTTTGTAAATTTCCTACAGAGAGACTGGAATATACTTGGTGGGAGCACATGCTTAGCTTGAACAAGGCCCTGGGTTCAACACCCTGCACCACACACGGGTAAATATATAAACATGTAAAGCTGAGTGCACTACATTATGCTATCATAGACTTAAACAATTAGGCATTAATAGATGGAAAAACCCTTAGCTCTGAAATTAGACACACGTACGCCACCAATCTACCTCTGAAAGACATTGCTTTTCTAAACTCCAAGGAAATGGTTATTTTGAAGAGGAGGAGGTAGGAGGAGGGACAGATTGCTTGAAATGCACTAGGAACACAAAGGAGGAAAAGACAATACCTCATCAAGACTCTTACTGGGACAGAAGGTGATTTTTTTCTTGGCATAGTCTTCTATTGACCTGGAAATTGCCTCAAGCCATTCATCCCTTTCTGTGGCAGAACTGTTGGGGGCAAAAGAATGTTCCATCAACCAGATGTCCGCTTTGACTCTATGCCCTTTTCTTCTTTCCATTCTGCCATGGCAACCAGGCCTACCATCCTCCAACGCTGCTGGCAAAAGCAGCAACTCGGAGGCTTATTTAAGCAAACAATCAGAAGCAGCAATAAAGAAGCCACGACATTTTTAGCAGAGACGATACCTGTTTTCTTCTGACAAGTACTGCTTCACAATAAATAGCTTGTGAAGACTCTTAATTTGAGAAGCACTGTGGTTAATCAGGGATATTAGTACAATTAATAAATTATATAACCAGAGTTTCCTAAGACAATCCTAGAATTTAAAAACAATCACTTTTGAATACTAACTTGATGTACTTATATTACTGGTCTAATAATACTAGACTACTAAATATTACTAAAATTATCTAGAGCAGTGTAGTGATGTACACCTGTAGTCCCAGCACTTGAGTTAGAAGCCAGATTAGACTACATAAAGACACCATATCTTAACCAACACCACACCTATCAACAAAACACAGGACAATCAGGTGAAAGGACAGAAAAAAAAATATGGCAATACAGGGTCTGCTACTTGCTAGGCAAGTATTCTACCACCTTAGCCACACCTTCAGCCCAGGGGATATATATATATATATATATATATATATATATATATATATATTTTGGTCGTTTGTGGGGCTTGAACTCCGGGCCTGTGCACCATCCCTCAGCTCTTTAGCTCAAGGCCAGTGCTCTACCGCTTGAGCCACAGCACCACTTTCGGTTTTCTAGTGATTTTTCTTGGAGATAAGAGTCTCACAGACTTTTCTGCCTGGGCTAGCTTTGAACCATGATCCTCAGATCTCAGCTTCCTGAGGAGCTAGGGTTACAGGCGTGAGCCACCAGCACCCAGCTGAGAAAATATTCTTAATATAAGACAGATGCTGAAGGAGTGGTTCATGATAGGAATTGCCTGGGATGGTATTAGGGCTCTTCTATTACCTAGTTAGGCTACCAAGGTTTCGGTTCCTACTGCCGCTTCATCAGAGCTGTTTTTCCCTCAACTTTCATGGGAACTGGCTAAAAAAGTGAAATCCTGTCCAGAAAAAAGGTCATGTTCTTCATTCTTCCAGCCACACCTCTCCCCCAAAACTCTGTGGTAATATCTGTTCATCACTAGTGTCAGGACATTCATACAACCATTTAAAACTTTGTTTTAGCTGGGCACTGGTTGCTTAGGCCTGTAATCCTATCTACTCAGGAGGCTGAGATCCAAGGATGGCAGTTCAGAGCCAGCCCAGGCAAGAAAGTCTGTGAGACACTTATCTCCAAGTAACCACTAGAAAACTGGAAATGGTGCTGTGCTTTACAGTGGTAGAGCACTAGCCTTGAGCAAAAGAGCTTAGGGACAACCCAGGCCCTGAGTTCAAGCCCCACAGCCAAAAACAAAACCCCCAAAACAAACTAAAATCAAATGGGGAGGCACATTTTATATAATATAAATATATGTAAGTGAATATACACACACAAAGAAAGAAGAAATGGAAGAGCAGAGATTTTAGTAATCAATTTCAACTCCATCATACTACTCAGGAGGTGATCCAGAGGAGTACTGTTCAAGGTCAACCTGAACATAAAGTCTCTGAAAACAGGCTTTTAGGTGGTCAACTGGAAATAAGAGTCTCACAGACTTTCCTGCTTGAGTTGGTTTCGAACTCTGATTCTCAGATCGGCTTCCTGAGTAGCTAGGATTTCATGTGTAAGAAGGGCAGGGGACAGTAGAGCCTCTTGTCTCACAGGCACATGAACAGACACGAAACAACTAAAAACCTAATGCAGTTCCCAAATTTTCATTGTGGAAAACAAAATAAGAAACAATCTCTAAGATCAACAAAACCTGTCTCATTTTCCTCTTCTAGCATCACTGCCAAAGCTAATTATATTTAAGTTACAACCTTCAGCAATGGTATTAACTGCTTCCCAAATGTCACCTTCATAGCTACCCAATGTACATTGGATTTCACCCCCTCTACCACCACATCTTCAACATCAGCCGTAATCACCATGCACACATAGAGAAATGAGGATGAGCAATGTTAGATAAATGAATGTATAGACAACAGGCTTTAGACCCAAGTGTGGTTAAGCACTGAGCCATTCACTACCAGGCAGCCACTGCCAGCTGGTTCATGTTATTTGAAGAACTACACTATCAGAACACACACTCTGCTTCCAGGCAAACATTCATGAAATATTACCAGCTCTCCCTCCCTCCTTGACTTTTTACTGGAAGAAGTTACAGAAAGCAGAGAGGCAGATGGCTAATTTGAGAATTACTGTTGGATTTTTCTTGAGCCCTGGGAGCATGTGGAATGTGATTCAACTGTGCAAATCATGTCACATTTGCTGTTCTTTCATTTAATCATTCCTGGCTTGATCTCATGTGGGGTTCTGCCAAGATGATGTTTACCAGCTCTTGATAACACATTTCTCACAGACCACACACATTTGCCCACAGCATCTAATCGAGACACACTAGGTCTCTGCTTGTAACATGATTAGCAGAAGAATCACATTGGCATCTTCTGGATTAAAAATAGACCAAGTTTTCTTTTCTTTATGGAAGATATACATTATCCAAGGGCAAATAATACCATTTTCCCATTGATTAGAATGAATTTATAAGAGAAAATTTTCCAATCAGAGGGACTTCTGGTGTGGTAGGCCATGTCACATCTCTACTTGTGACGACTTGTGGGATGCTTCAAAGGCCACATCACTTTCACTCATCTGAGTAACACTTATTGTAAGATTACTAAGGACCCAGAACTGTGGCACTGGACACACAAAACACACTTCACTTGTAAGGACTCCCATCTAATTGAGGCAATAATACATCAATAGCCCTGGCTGCATTCAGACATCCAGATCCTTGCACATACCACGCCAGTGGTTCCATGTTGACATTCCTCACATTGAGTATGAACATCTGAAACTCAATCCCAGGCCTGTCTTTCATCACAGTGAGTGTCACCACCACCCCATACACTGTACAAGCTGGAGACTCATGTGGAACATCCCTCTCCCATCCCCTGTATTCAATTAATTACATTTTAAAACTATATTCCTTGCTGGGTACTGGTGGCTCACGCGTGTAATCCTAGCTACTCAGGAGGCTGAGATCTGAGGATCATAGTTCAAAGTCAGCCCAGGCAGAAAAGTCCGTAAGACTCTTATCTCCAATTAACCACTAGAAAACCAGAAGTGGTGCTGTGGCTCAAGCGGCAGAGCGCCTGCCTTGAGCTGAAGAGTGCAGGGACAGCCCCCAAACCCAGAGTTCAAGCCCCATGACGGGGGGGGGGAGGGGGGAATGGGAGGGGAGAAACTGTATTCCCACAGAGCAGCAAGAGATTCTGATCACATCATTTCCTGGTTTAAAATGTTCCATGCTTTCCTATAGCTTCAAAGCTAAAGACCAAAATCTGCAAAGCAGTTCTGTGTACTCTGTCTCAGTTGTCCTTCAGTGCTCATTTTGGTTCACATTCCCTTTCATTCTTGAGTATATACCCTCTGGCCTTTCAGTTCTTTGAATACATCATGTCCCTTTCTCCTCAAGTCCTTTGTACTCATCATTGCTAATGGACCAAGAGGCTCTTCTTCCCCCCAACCCCCAGCTATACAGCACCAACCTACTTACTGTTCTATTGTAATTCAGTATACCCAGAAGGCATTACAGTCCATCTCTGACTTTCACCTCCAAAACTAGATCAGTCACTAGTTCTATAGCTGCACAGCACTGATACTTCTTCTATGTACTACTTCATCACAATAATACTCAATTATGGTAATATTACTAAGTATATATCTTCCCTGATGGACTGGAAGCTCAGTGAAGGAAAGACTCTTTCAATTATTAACTAACTATATCCTGATGCCTAGGAAAGAATCTCCATATTATTTACTGAATGAAAGTGGAGTATTGCTGTGTCTTGGAATAGGGAAGCCCAAGAAAAGGGAGAAAGACACCCATCTTTCAGTGGAATATTCAGAACACACACAACATTTATTAAGTTCACTGTCTTATACAGATGTTCACAGGGCCCCAAAAGAATTGAACATTAATATAAATGATCATTTATACCAATCATCATAACAGAAACAGTAATAATGAAAAAGCTTAAAATACTGACTTAATGAAATGTGACACAGACACAAAGTTAGCACATATTAGAAAAATGATCCTACAGTTAGTAGGGTTGCCACAGACCTCAAACTTATTTTTTTTTAAAGGCAGTATCTACAAAGTGCAATAAAGTGAAGTGCAGGAAGAAAGGTATGCTTATAGATGAGCCCCACAGCTCTCCAGGTTTCTCTACCACCGAGCATATCAGCCCTTTTCTACAATGGTTATTTTGAGATAGGATCTAAGTTGTTTTTTGTATGTTGGTTTTTTTTTTTTTTTGGGTGGTCATGGGAGGTGAACTCTGGGCCTGGGCGCCTCAGCTTTTCAGCTCAAGGCTAGCACTCTACCACTTGAGCCACAGCACCAGTTCTGGCTTTATCTGCTTATGTGGTGCTGCATGCAAGGCTAGCACTCTACCACTTGAGCCACCTTCCCAGCCCCAGGATCTAAGTTTTTAACCACAAGGACATCTGGACTGCAACCCTCCTATTCAATGCTTCCTATCACAGCTGGGATGACAGGCATGCATACACCACCACATCCACACTCTTCTGTTAAGATGCATCATGGGTAATGCTAGACTTACATTATGGTAACATGTTTTGTCACTTCAGATTTTGGTTTGAGGTAATGTGGATCATGACGGATTATTTTATTTTATTTTTTTAAGAAAAGGATTCACTCACTATGTAGCCCCAGCTGGCCTAGAACTTGTTCTGAACTTAGGCTTGCCTCAAACTTGTAATCCTCCTGCCTCAGCCTCTTTAGTGCTGGGGTCTGAGTTATGCATTGCCATTTCCAACTCTAACAGTGGATTTAAAAAGCAAAAAAAAAAAAAAACCCAAAAAACTGATTTGATACTAGCCTTGCTAGATACATTTCCCAAATAGAGGAGTTCAGGTTTTCTGTAACTAGGTTTCCTTAGGAAATTATATCTACCTCATAGGTTTGTTATGACCTTAGATGATAGATGAGACATCCTAGTTAACTTTAAAGCACTATTTCTAAGCAAATTATGCTTGACTGTAAAAAAGACTTCCAACATTTGCTTAAAAAGTTATCCGGGAGCTGGGAAGGTGGCTCAGTGGCAGAGTGCTTGCCTTGCACGCATGAGGCCCTGGGTTCGATTCCTCAGCACCACATAAGCAGAAAAAGGCAGAAGTAGCACTGTGACTCAAGTGGTAGAGTGCTAGCCTTGAGCAGAAGAGCTAAGGGACAGTGCCCAGGCCCAGAGTTGACCAAAAAAAAAAAAAGTTATCCCATTGGGTGCCAGTATTCACACCTGTAATCCTAGCTACTCAGGAGTAGCTGAGATCTGAGGATCATAGTTGGAAGCTAACCCAAGCAGAAAAGTTCCTGTGAAGCTTTTATCTCCAATTAACCACTCAAAAACCAGAAGTGGAGCTGTGGCTCAAAGTGGTAGAGTACTAGCCTTGAGCAAAAAGAGCTCAGGGACACTGCCCAGGCCCGAAGTTCAAGCCCCATAACCACCACCAACAACAAAAAGTTATTCAAAGAGCACTCTTCAGCATTCTTGTTTTTCTGATTCTAGATCAGTGAATCTATTCTCAGCCATCTCATTTAATAGCAAGTCAAAAGTAACCCCTGCCAAAGAAGTTTGAGAAGAGAAAGGAAAGACATGGAAAGCCCGGTAGCCAACCTAATGTTAAAAAATGCTAGAGATATCTGACCCTATTATGCTGGCAACAATTCATCTAAATGTTTTAATAAAATTTACCTGGCTGAGAGGATGAAGGAACGTTCAACACTTTCAATCTTTAATTCATTCTGATATCCTTCTTGAGTGGGTTTTCTGACCTGGAAGAAACCATAATCATTTGTGCAAACTCATCTCAGTGCACATTCTATCTTGAAACTATAAATGAAGTTGTCCAGTGCTCTGGCTGCTGATATATACCACCAACCTTCCCTCCTACTATTCTTTGTATCTAGTACCAAAAGAACTTAAATATTCCTATGCATGTCTAACTTTCCTATATCCAGGCCACAGGTCACATTTTCCCTCTTCCCAGAATGCCCTGCTGCATGGTCACCTATGATCTACACTCTGAAGCTCACTGTCTCGTCCTCCAAAAAGACTTCCTTGATTCTTGCTTTTTCCTAGCTGTATAACAAAAGGTGCATGCTACACTGATCAAAACCTACTTTTTTTTTGTTGTTGGTCATGGGGCTTGAACTCTGGGCTTGGGCACTGTCCCTCAGCTCTTCAACTCAAGGCGAGTGCTCTACCACTTGAGCTACAGAGCCACTTCCGGTTTTCGAGTGGTTTATTTTTTTATTTTTTTGTCTTTTCTTTTTTGGTACTGGGGATCGAACCCAGGACGTTGCGCTTGCTAGGCAAGCACTTTGCCACTGAGCTACATCCCAGCCCTCGAGTGGTTTATTGGAGATAAGAATCTCATGGACTTTCCTGCCCAGGCTGGCTTTGAACTGCGATCCTCAGATCTCAACCCTCTGAGTAGCTAGAGCCACCGGTGCCTGGCTACATGGTCTTTATTTCCTGAACTCTTTAAAACTTTTTTTTGGTCCAAGTATGGTAGTTTATATGTATAATACCAATATTTGGGAGGTAGACTGGCAAGTGAAAGCAAAGGGATTGTTTGGGCTATACAGTAAGAACTTGTTTCAAAAGAATAAAACAACACATTTTGAGATGGAGTTCCAGGCTTAAGCTCCAGGCCTCAAATGATATCCCTATGTTAATCTTCTGAGTAGCTAGGATTACAAGTGACAACCACCATGCCCAGCTCTGCACTCCTAAAGACATTAACTGTGCCTCTATAGAAATGTTATTACTTTCTACTTTATAGGTATTATGGATAGTGTAGTTATCTTCTCAATTTATTTCTAAGTCCCAGGGTACTGGGAGGTTGGGGTGGAGGTAGAGACAAAAAGAATCATGCTTCAACTTATTCTCATAGTTTCCACCAGAACTATTAGTATGTTTTATTTATGGACATTCTCAGTACATATGTTTTGAATAAATTAAGCCATAAGAAAACAAAGGACATGAATATGTAAATGAAGGCATGAACAGTAGCACAGAGAGAAAGAAAAGTTAGGGACCTGAGAAAAATGATTATCTTAGGGACTCTTCTCTAAATATAAAAATATGTTTGAGTAAAAAAAAAAAAAATCAGATCCTAAAAGGTACACAGACCTTCATTCCAGCCAAGGATAGCATGTTGTTCAGTTTATATATCCCAGATTGCATAGGTGTTGTATACAGCAGGGCATCATTAAACTAAAAAGAGAAACATACACGGCAAATTACAGAAACTAATTTCAGCTACAAAAATAGGGATAAGATACTATATTAAGAAAATATTTATATTCTACTTATATATTCTAGAACTATCTAGAATGTTATATTAGAATACTATTAAAAATGTAATTTCTAAAAATATGCTTTTTTTCCAAATTCTGTAATGATTTCTGATTTCTAAATCACACTGAGGTTAATTGTAATCTGACTATGTAATCAATTATAACTATTTTTTCAAGTTAAAAATAAAGAAAAACCTGAAAGTAATTCTCTCATTAAGAATTATAACAGATCTTTTTGAAATGTAAATAAATATAGCCAATCAAAGATGCCACAATTCTGATATGTGGATGCACTAAGCTCATCTGTCATACATAAATATTACCTTCCATTAAGCAATGGCAGAGCACCTCCCACTGCACATGACCTCTTACCAGGAAAAACATTCGGGGCTGCATGACCTTCCGAGACAGCTTCATCAGAATTCCTTCTTTGAGAAAAACCTGAGTTGTTCAAGCAAACACCTGTTAGTTCCATGATCATAACAGAGCTATGATGTACATATAATATTCTTTCCAACATTCTTGTTCCTACAACTTGTTTGTTTTTTCGTGAAGAGGGGGCAGGAAAATATACTTATAACCGTAAGACTGATCTAGAAATTGGACAAAAAGAAAGATTAAAAGGGGCCAGAAAGTACAGGTTTGAGAAAGACACAGCAGCAATAGCAACACAAACAAGCTGAACTTTGTTATTTAGTATTGGCCCCAGGGTAGTAGGTGGACTGACACATTGACTAACTCTGTGTGTGTGTGTGTGCGCGCGTGCGTGCACAGGCGCATGCACCAGTATTAGGGCTTGAAATGAGGGTCTAAGCACTGTCCCTGAGCTCTTTTGCTCAAGACTAAGGCTATATGACTTGAATCACAGCTCCACTTCTGGTTTTCTGGTAGTTAATTGGAGAAAGTGTCTCATGGACTTTTCTTGCCTGGGCTGGTTTTGAACCATAGTCTTCAGATCTCAGCCTCCTGAGTAGCTAGGATTGTATACATGAGCCACAGGCACTGGCTCCAAGTGTTTTTGATCCTGACATTTGCATTTTATTATTTCCATTATTTCCTTGGTTCCCTAGGCAACTGCTGTGTTCTCTGAGGAGCATCAAAACACCAATTTTCTATCCTAGCCTGTCCCAGTCCTCTTTTACATTAATGATTTTAATGAAATTGTCTTCAAAGCTGCATGAGATCAGCTGGTATTACACAAAAAAATGATCCATTAAATCATTTCACTGGGATTCTGTGGGATCTCTGGCCTTTCTCCTAATTGAATTGGACTTCTTGCCGCAGTGATTTACATCATGAATGTTTTGAATGGTTAAAGCAATCCATATTAAGTCAACAAAAGAGTAACAATGATTAACTTGCTTTCTTAACTAAAAGAAAAAATAGCTACAGATAGTACCTGGCTGCAAAATGATAAATTTCCAAAGGTAGCCTCTCAAACTTACACGTCCAGGCTGTACTATTTCATGGTGTCCATTTAAGCTGTACTGGATTTGCATAAGCTTCTGAAAGTTGTCCTATAATAGAAAGACAATACAGAGCATGTGAAAGCCCAGTTTCCAGGTTCAAGTGTATAGCCTCTGATATCAATATACTTACTCCTTGCTTCATGGTGTCATTAGCATGGTTAGCCACCTCTATAACAACAGCAAGGGCATCTGCAATATACAGGAATAGAAGGGCGCTTATTATTGCTATTGAAACAAATAGTATGCAACATCAAAGAGTTCCAAGTAATAAGAGTAATAGCAACCAAACTCTCATGGAGCTTGGTTGATTATGAGTAGGCAGAATTATTAATTATAAAATTTAGTGAGGGAATAACAAAAAAAGCAGGATAATTAAATGGTGCATGAACAAAACTGAGCCACAGAAAATTTCCAAAGGGACCCATGGACTGTGTTTATATCAGGAATGTCAGGGCTATTTTGTCGTGAGATGTCTGTTGAAGTTTATAAGGATAAAATAAGATTTTGCCTGTAAGCTAAGGATCAGTATAAACTGTCTTGGGAACAAAGGATTGTGAGGGGAAATGATCCTGATACAGGAAATGGGAACTATGAAAACTGAGGGGTATAATACACAGTGGTAGAGTGTGTGTATTGTATGTGTGCAGCTCTGGTTTAATTCCCAGAATCATAAGTAAATAAACACATGGGAAAATCAAATAGATACAAGAGAGTCAGGGTTCAGTTCCCCCTCTCTCAGTCTGTTTCGAAGAGGTATGAATCAGAAAAAAGATAAAAGTAAGTCTGAGTGCAATCCCACTAGTACCCCACAACCCCCAGTATGACCCTGCCTGGTCCCCCACTCCCCCCCAAAAAAATGAGAGAAAGGCCACATATAAGCAACTAGACATACATGGACATCTCTTGTAAGCTGTGTTATTTAGCTTTATGGGAGAATCTGTATCTTATAATTTGCATTAGTCCCTTGCCTTCTACAAAGTGGGTTTCTTTGTTTTTTGTTTTGGTTGATTGTGGGGCTTGAACTCTGGGCCTGGGTGCTTGTCTCTAAGCTCTTCAGCTCAAAGCAAGTGCTCTACCACTTGCGCCACAGTGCCACTTCTGGTTTTCGGGTGGTTAATTGGAGATAAGAGTCTCATGGACCTTCTTGCCCGGGCTGGCTTTGAACCACGACCCTCAGATCTCAGCCTCCTGAGTAGCTAGAATTACAGGCATGAGCCACCAGCCCAGCCTACAAAGTGTTTTTGAATGCTCCAACTCTGTCATATTTGTAACTAGATATAAAGGAAAAGTACTGGGATTTCATGCCCATCTAGATCTGCCTTTTGTCTGCTTCTATGATGGAAATGCTTTTTCACTCAAGGCTGGTACTCTGCCATTTAAGCCACACCTCCACTTCTGGCTTTTGGTGGTTAGTTGGGGATACTCTCACAGACTTTCTTCCTGGCCTGTCTTCAAATCTTGATTCCTAGATGTCAGCCTCCTGAGTAGCTAGAATTACAGGCGTAAGCCACTGGCATTTGACTAATAAAGATTCTTAAAAGAGTCTTTTGGTTTAGCTACCAAAATCTGCCAAGAGATTCTCTTTCTAACACCAAGACTGTAAGGTTTTTTTAACTTTTTGTTTGTATGTATGTATATATGTATGTATGGTTTGTATGTATATACCAGAACATGATCTTAGGGCCTCATCCTCTAGCTCAGCTTTCTTTTTTTTAAAAAAAATACGTTTTTTTATTGTAAAAATTCTGTACAGAGGGGTTACAGTTACATGAGCAAGGTAATGAGTGCATTTCCTATCAAGCATTGTTACCTCCTCCTTTGTTTTTCCCCTAACATCCCTTCCCTCCCACCTCCACAACTATACTCTCCCCTCTTCCCCCCCTAAATTGTTAAGTTCTTTCTTCAACATAGTGTCATGTTACAATGGGTCAACCTGTATCCCTACTTAAGCATCTTGTTTTTTCCCTTCCCTCCCTCTAGCTCAGCTTTCTTGCTCATCTCTGGTGCTCTACCACTGGAGCTATACCTCCAGTTCAGTATTTTGCTGGTTAATTGGAGATGGAGTCTTGAAGACTTTTCTACCTTGGTTGGCTTTGAACTGTAATTTTCTAGGTCTCAGTCTCTGAGTAGTTAGGATTACAGACATAAACCATCATGGTAGTTTTTGTATTCTTTAACATGTATTATTATATTACCGTTTTTTATGGTTGGGATCAAACTCAGGACCTCAGACCCATGCTGAGCTAAGCACTGTTACCATGTACTCCCTTCCCCATCACTGTTATGAAAGGAAAGTAGTATCTCCTGTGAATAAAGATCTCAACCTTTTAACAGAATTTATGTACCTGGCACTATCTTCACAGTACATACTCTGTACTTATTCCCTGCTCTTTGGCCTGCTGTAATTCCCAGGGGGTGGGTAAGAGAAGCCTTAGAATGTAAAGATGATAAAACTCCTGCTACCTGGGCTGGGAAGGTGGCTCAGTGGTAGACCGCTTGCCTTGCATGCCTGAGGCCCTGGGTTCGATTCCTCAACACCACATAAGCAAAAAGAAAAAAGCTGGAAGTGGTGCTGTGGCTCAAGTGGTAGAGTGCTAACCTTGAACTGAAGAGCTGAGGGACAGCGCCCAGGCCCAGAGTTCAGGCCCCATGACCGGACCAAAAAAAACAACAACAACAATAAAAACTACTGCTGCTACTCTGTCACCTAGCCTCCAAGCTTGCCTTCTCATCCATTCTTTAGTCCTACCAGTCACAGGTCTATTTGCCACCTTTTTCTTCACCTCCTCAAAATCTAATCCCCACATGCCCAGCATACCATTTTCTGTTCTGCCTTTGGATATATGGTGCCCATCACCATTCAGTGCTTGTATTCGGTACCTTGCCAAAGCAGTTCATTTCCATTCCATTTTCCAAAGCTTAATCTCTGGCCTTATACATGTGTTATTCACAAAGTTGAGCTATGATCTATGATTCTGGATGAGTAAGGGTCTTACAGATAGAAACCAAGATTTCAAGTAGGTTAAACATGTACACTGCCACTGAGCTATAACAACCCTAGGATCCTGTATATAATTTTTGTCCCCACAAGACAGACTCTGGTCAGCAGTACCCACTCTTCCTCTTGTCCATCCTTTAGTTCATCTTTTTTTTTTTTTTGTCGGTCATGGGGCTTGAACTCTGGGCTTGGGCGCTATCCCTCAGCTCTTCAGCTCAAGGCAAAGGCTCTACCACTTGAGCCACAGCACCATTTCCTGTTTTCTAGTGGTTTATTGGAGATAAGAGTCTCATGGACTTTCCTTGTCCTGGCTGGCTTTGAACCATGATCCTCAGATCTCAGCTTCCTGAGTAACGAGGATTACAGATATGAGCCACTGTCCCACTTCTTGCTAAACAAATCTTCCATTGCTTATCAACCATCAGTTTTCTCCTCCTTTCCAAATGATTTTGACTGCTCAAGGTATCCTTACCATAACAGGTTTATTTTTTATTTGATGGGAATGTTGTATTTCTTCATCTTCTGAGGGTTTTTTTTGTCTGTTTATGTTCGTTTATTTTGGGTAGTACTGAGGATTTAATCCAGAGCCTGTGCTTGCTGACCTACTGCTTTACACTTTTAAAACAGAATTTCAATACTTCTTTTGCCCTAGGCTGGCCTCAAACTCATGATCTTCCTGTCTCTACCTCATGAATAGCTGAAATTACAGGCATATAACACTATGCCCAGATCTCTTCTTTAGATATATATTTATGAAAACATGAAACATTTCATAACTGCATCTTAAATTTTTAAGTGTTTTTTACTGGGCTGGGATTGTAGCTCATTGGTAGAAGTTAGCATGTATAAAGCCTTGAGTTTGATATGTACCATGACAAAAATAAAACAATTCCCTCACCCCCCCCCAAATAAACAAGAGAAACAGCTGTAAATGGAATATATAGATAAGTAAAATGATTTAAGAGAGTAAGAATCTCTAAAAATGGAAGGTTGGCAAGGTAGATAGTACAATATTGTCACTGTAGCACTTGGGAGGGAACTGAGGCAGGAGGATCAAAAAGAATATGATGCCAGACTAGGCTAAAAATTGAACCCTCATCTCAAAACAAACCAGAAACAACAAAAAAAAACTGGGTTTAATTTCTTTATCTGAAAATGTAGAAAATGCAAGAGATAGTAAAATGGAGAGAATGCACAAAATTCTTGAAATGAATGGGGTGTAGATGAACTTGTTTACTATTTCTGAAGAGTAAAATCTGGAAAAGGTAGAAAAGAAATTCTATCCAATATTAATGAGACAGAGACAGAGAGAAGTATACTATGAATATCAGTAAATTTCTTGTATATGATGAGCTGTTTAAGTGTTCAAGGGGAAGAAAGGTAGTAAGTCTAATGCCCCATCATTAAACAGTCCCTAAATAATATGTCATTTTAGACTTTACCCTTGATTTGTATAGTTTAGTCACTTCATGGACTAACTTGTAAGAAGCCTGCAGATCATATGGTTCCCTCTGTTTTTGAATATGAATAGCCACCTATAGAACTTGAACATAGCATGGGCACAGACTAACTAGATACTGTAGAGGGCGAAGCTTCCTCTCTCCAGTAGTGTTTTACTATCTTATCTAGTTCTAGTTTATTTTTCCAGAGAAGTCCTTTTCTTAATATTTTGTCTTCTTATGAATAAAGTGGAATTTTGAATATGGGTTTTGTTATCAGATTTTATTTTCTAGGTCCAAGTAAACATCAAGATTAATGTAACATAGGAGACTGAAAAAGTTATTTACCTTGAGTATCTCTGTAATCTCCAGAGTCCTCTAAGAGATTGTTCAAATAATCTAGAAAAGAAAACAGTTGTAGTATTTAACACGATGAAGCACTGTGTCCCCACTTTCTTGCTTATTCAATACTCCAGTCAATTTTTTTCATTAGTCAAATGTGTTAACTTTTGGAAAAACAAAGCTCTAAAATCAGCTTGAAATGATGACAAAGAAACAGAGTTGCAAATACCATATAATGTCACCATGATCATTTTCAAGATAAGAAATCAGATGACTGAGTGAAAGACCTCACCAATATTACATAAGCTCCTTGTGTAGGAGTCAGGACTGAAATCTGTATCTCCTGATGGCCAGTTCAACTCACTCCAATGCACATAAAATACTTTAGTCTGGAGATCTAATGCAAAATTCTAAGGCATTTAGTAAACCGAATGCCCCCAAGACAGATTTGTCAGAACCCAGAACCCCCAAAGAACTCAATTACCATGCTTATATCAATCATTTCCAAATGAGAGCAAACTTATACCCTAGGGACATTTGTCAATGTCTATAGACATTTTGCTAGGAAAAAAGTGAAACTGATTTCTGCTGATTGGAGTTTAGGGATGCTACTGAACACCCTATAACCTACAATAGCCCTCATGCAAAGGATTTTCTGACACAATGTATACTATGGCTGAGGTTGAGGAAGATAGTAAAGATAGTGTACAAATAATCAATGTGGTACTCAGTGCCTCTTAGAATGTGGGAAAATAATGTGATACCCATTCACAATATGGAAAAAAAGGTTAATTTAATAAACTTTAACATTAAACAGTGTCCCAGTGTCAAGGCACCACTACCTTATCTGTTGAGAGATGCAGGATGGCTCCACCCCCATTTACTTATCTAATTAATACAATTTCCTTTTCTTAGAATTTACCAACCCCCACCACAAGATATGGTCCCTGTCTACCTTTCTGACTTTCTCTCTTGTTATTACCTTACGCTGGCCCTTTGTTTATAATCAAAATTTGATTGTGCTCAATTCCTTCAACACTTCCCTGTGTTTAATGGGTCTATGCTGTCTCTCATGCTCTCTTTTACATCTGTCTCTGCACATAAAAATTTGATTCACATTTGTTATGAGTATGTGAGCTTACATGCAGGCAGCTGGGGACTGAACCCAGGGCCTCCTACATGCTAATTAGTCACATGGTTTACCACTGAGCTACACCTTCAACCCTCAACTGTAAGGTTTATCTTAAATTCCTTCTCTCCTATAACACTTTCCATTTCAAACAATCATTTTCTTCTTTTTAATAAGACACGATATGGTAGTTTCTTTATGCCTTCTAAAATGTGAAGGACCCTCATCTTGATTCCTCACTCTTTTTGTCTCTCTCTCATAGCAAGCACTTAGACAAAGTATTTGCTTAATGAAAGCACTTTTTTTTTAAAGCTGTGGATTGAACCCAAGCCTTTGTACATCTGCTCAGCATTACTGAGATTTCCCCAGCCCTGCTAACATTTATTTAAAAAGAAGATGTATTTTATTTAGGTAAAAGACAATAAACATTGAAAGCAATCCTAGTGGTTGAAACCAATCCTAGTGGCAGCAGTAGTCCAGAAAATGGAAAAAGGAAAGGCATCTTCGAAGACTGAATGTCTGAATTTTTATCAGCTGCAATCTTCATTTAGTAATATTATGAGACATATTATTGCATCCCATGGACTTATGCAGTCTGCTCAAAAGTACATGAAGGGAAACTTGTATATCATTGCTAGCTTTGCAAAAGGAATAATCCACCACACACAACTGCTGAAACTTCCCATGTCCTTGAGACATCCATTGCTGGCAATAAACAGTGGTGAGACGCTGTATACAACCATACTAAGCTTCCCTGCATCATGGCATAGGCTCCATCTTATCACTAGCAATTTACATCTTATGGTGATCTGAACATACAAGTTGGAAAGCTAGCCTCTGAGCAAACAGATAGAAAAACCTCAAAAATCACCCAAAAAATTGATCATACAATATACATAAGAGTCACCCAGAGATTTAAAAAAAATAACAATCTTTCTTGACTCCACTCAGAATACCTATTAAGCCAGGCCTGGTAAATCCAAATATTTATCATTTCTATGGCTGAGAGTTCAAGGGTTCAGACAAATTCACCCTTTGCATTAGATGTGCCCAATGCCTGTGATACTTCATTAGTTAAAAGTGACTTTCCTTCAGGTTATAGCAGTGAAGAATATGGAAAAGAAAGTAGGATTACTTAAATGTCAAATTCATGAAGAGTTCTCTATTCTTTTCAATGTATTCTTCTATAAGAAGTATATTCACACAAACTGAAATTTCTTTAAACTTCAGAGAGCTCGCCAGAATTGTCAGTACTAGAAAATTGTGCCCTCAGAATCACTGTGCTCAGCCTGATAAACTTCAGCTCAAACTTGGCTGCTGTCCTGAATTTCTGGGAACAGAGCTTTACTATACCCATTGGCTGAATAGAAAATCCACCACTAAGAGATTACAACATCATAGTCCCAATCAAGAAGGGGACAGTGTTAAATCTGCCCTCCGTGCCAATTTTGCAACTTAGCCATCCACTCATCCATTCACAAATATATGCTTTTAAGGAATATTGTTATAGTATATCTGTTTTGGGAACTTTCACCTTTTCAAGGAAACCAGGACCATGAGTCCCTTAAACAGGAATGAATCACCCAGTGCCTCAGGTAAGCATAAGAGGCTGAGTCAGAAGGGAGGAACATTGAAACCACTAGCTGCCCAGTGACTCTTCTTTCCAAGGTGGGACCCAGGAAAGGAGACCAGACAGACAGGCCTGTATTGCTCACCAGAATCATCATCTATCACGTACAGCCCAGCTTCCTGCTGAAGCTTTCATAGTTAACAATGGGGAAAATAGTCGTTTCACTTTGCCATGTGAAACTTGTAGTATTTTGTGACTTTCCTGCTTCTGCCAAAACAAATGAAGCAACATTCAAAAGCTCCTTAATAAAAATGCCTTGACCTCTGATCATATAAGATATTTATCAAAATGAAACAACAACAAAAATGCCATGAACAACACTGAAGTTATTTTCATCAGATTGGTGTCATGAATAGGCCCCATATAGGTATTCTCTGACCAGCAGGTGGCATCATCGATTAATAAACCCTGACTCCCAATCCTTGCCATCACAACTTACTTGACACAAAATCAACTGAAATACACCATGTGCAACTCCTACAGATTGGTAAATTACCTTTCTACTAATATACAAGGCCCAGGATGAAAGGATAAGAGTCTCATTTTTCTAGTAGGCCTTATCATTCCCTGATTGCCTAATGAGAAACCATTCAGAAGTACTCCAGTTTACCTTTACAAACATTACTCATGGATGAGAATCTGGGACTTTTCTATATTCAACACCTAGATTCCTATATTGTGTGCTAAGAATGAGTAGTGGCAGAACACAGAGGAAATGAGTATACAGGAGAGGTAACATTCCTGAGTGAAGCTTTTAGAATTTGAGATCATGTCTTGCTTTGTGTTATTCAGGTTTCATCTTTTCTGCATAAATACATAGGGAGCTCAGCAACACATACAAAAATATGGGATCTTAAGATAAATGATCTAGGCAACAAGCCTATTTTTACAAAAAGTTTCAGATTTTGAAAGAAGTAAATTTAAGATTACCCTAGCTTGTGAAACAAAGTTCAGATCACTTGAAATAACAAGACAAAGATCTAAGTGTCAAGTTACAAGACTGACATCTTCCAGGCAGCTTGGAGATACTCTAGAGCCCTGGCTATGGAATCACACCACAAGTGTAGCCAAGAAACAGTCCCATAATTTGATAAAATAGGTTTTAATTTATCTATCTGTCTCTCTGTCTACTCATCACTGAGGGCCTGGGCCTCACTGAGGGCCTGGGCCTCAAATATGCTATGCAACCTCTCTACTCAGGCCCACATTACTTTTCTGTAGTAATATCCTCAGATAGGGCTTAAGGTGTGGCTCAAGTGATAAGAGCTCCAGATGAGCAAGCAAGCTGAACTAAGCATCAGGCTGTGAGTTCAAACTTAGTACTGGCAACAAACAAAGAACCTACCTCATATATAAAGGAATTAAACTATTCAGGCATGGTATTACACACTTGTAACTCCAACTCCTTAGGAGGCTTAGGTAAGATTATAAATTCAAGTTTGGGAAAACAATGAGACTTTCTCAAAAAAAAAAGGAATTAATCTGGATTAAGTTGGAAAATTTGTAATAATTCTCATTCTAAAACATTGTGAAACATACTTTAATTCTAAAATGCATTATTAGGCTGAGGATGTAGTTCATACATATGTATGTGTGTGTATTCACACACACACACACACACACACACACACACACACACACGAAATTTGAAAAACATTTACCATAGGTTCCATCCACTCTCTGGAATTAAACTATCCAAAGTGCCCCTGCCTGTAGCAATATAGACTAATCAAACACTTTACTTTCTTGTTTCAGATTATACAATCAAACCAGCCCAGGCAAAAAATTTGTGAGACCCCTCTCCATCAATAAGTAAAACTAGGTCATTTACATACTTGTGAACCCAGCCAGATGGGAAATGCAAATTGGAGGATCACAGTCCAGGCTGGCCTGGGGGGGGGGGGGGGGAAAGGAGAAAGGGAGAGGGAGAGGAAGAGGGGGAAAGAGAGAGAAAGAGAGTGAGAGAGAGAAAGAGAGAGAGAGAGAGAGAGACCCTATTTGACCATAAAAAGGAGAGAGGGGGTTAGAGGCATGGCTCCAGTGGTAGAATACTTGCCTAGCCAGTACAGGGCCTTGAGTCCAGTCCCTAGTATCACCAAAAAGACGATGGAGAACAGTCACAATTCCTTTCAAAGGCCCCACAGTGAGAAAAATAAGAGGAATACAATATCACTTTATTGACAAGTTATTAACTCTTCCAATATCCAGAGCAATAGACGATTTTGGAATTTCAGTGATTAAATTTGAATGCATCCTAGAATATTTTTAAACAGTGAATACTATGCATTGCTATAAACAAAATCATTTCAAGTGTATGAATAAAATTCCCAAACTCTAATCTTCCTGAGAAATGAAGGACTGTAAACATGTTAGAAAGTAAGCAAATGGTTCTATGATACAAGGTATCATTTTATGTACAAGTGTTAAAACTGTGGGCTTCACAAGAACAAGAAGTCTGCATTATCTTTATATACACAGCCCTTGAACAAGATCTGACACATATTCCATCAATGTTTGTTGCTGTTCGCTTATTTATTTTTTATTTATTTGAAATCTACATAGTCTAGGCTAACTCAAACTTGCTATGTAAGAACAGTCTGCCTCAAACTAACATTCCCTACCTCTCTCCTACTCAGTCTCCCAAGTGCTGGGATTACATGTGCTTGTCATTATGCCTGACTTGTCTGTTTAACAGACTAAATGGCATTTTGTAGTTACCACTTCTTGTTTCCGACTGGAGTTGAGATGGTATTTTAAATGCCTCACTGCTAATTACAATGTATTGTCACCCCTGGCTCTAATTCTTCTGTGTCTCAAATACTAACTCAATTCTGGTCTCTGAGTATGTGGCCCACAGCTGCCTCTTATATGTGCTATTTGCCTCTTATATTTAGAAAAAGTGGCTGTTGTGGGCTCTCAGCCTGTAGGCTCACAGCTTAGAAAGCAAACAGTGTTGTTCTGTAAGTTAGAAAGTCCTCTTCTGATGGACAAAGGGTGAAGAAATTCAGCAGTGGTACTCAGTAGACACTATGTTAAAAATGAACCACATAACTTGTGGGTGGAGACAGGAGGGAAAAACTGGGAGAGTGAGGGAAGGGCTGCTACTGTCTAAAAAGAAAAGTACTCATTATCTGACTTACGTAACCCATCTGTGTATCACCTTTATAATAACAATAAAAATTTTAAAATTTAAAAAATAAAAAAGAAAGGCCACTTCTGTGCCACAATAAAGCACTCTAGCATAGGGCATACCTCTATAAGGTAGCACGTATCCATCCAAGACTTTGATAACTCTGGTTCTGAGGTGGTACCCCAACATCATGTCCCATGAACCAAAACTGACTTCAGGATTATTCTGTGGAAAATCTGGGAGCACATCTCACAAAAACAGATGTCCTGTGGGTTCTTTTTCAGTGGAACAGATAGGCTAAGCATATCCACAATATCATTAAACAAATCCGCAGGAAGTCTCTCAATAAAAGTAAATGCCCAGGGGCTGGGAAGGTGGCTTAGTAGTGGAGTGCTTGCCTAACATGCATGAGACCCTGGGTTCGATTCCTCAGCACCACATAAGCAGAAAAAGCCAGAAGTGGGGCTGATGCTTAAGTGATAGAGTGCTAGCATTCAGCTGAAGAGCTGAGGGACAGCGCCCAGGCCCAGCTTTCAGGCCCCACAACCGACAAAAAAAAAAAAAAAAAGTAAATGCCCATTATTTTGACTTGACTGATACTGCTTTTCTTAGTGGATATACTTTGCAATTGTTAAGGCTGCTAGTTTACCAAATGAGAATCTTTAAGTGTACAGAAATGGCTTTGGCACAGTTAACCCACACTTAAAAATGCTCTTATCTATGTTTGTTCCCTGCACTCTATCAACAAAGAGCAAGTTTAGGAAGATAAGTGCTTTTTTTTTTTTTTGCTACCCAACAGCCAACTAAGGAATCAAGCAAATCTAGCTACCAAAGTAAGTTCAAGTTTAACTGACTTTCAATGCTTTCTCCAAAGAGATGTAAGCCCATGATTCTGAAAATAAAAATTAAAAAAAAAAAAGTGAGAGAAACGAAGCAACAAATTCTCTCGCTGTTTCTGTGATAAGACAAGTCCTAGCAACAGAGGCACTTGGCTACTTGCAGGGAATCTGTGTCAAATTTACACTGAGAATTGGAGAAAGAATGGCTTTATAGTAATGTCTATGCATCAAACTTAGAATACCTACAAATCTGGATGGGCAAAATGAAGCATATAAACTTCATATTCACTAACTTTGAAGTGAAATTCCTTCCACTATTAAGGTAGGTTTTAAACCCCAGAAGTAATGATCCCAGTGACATTATCATCATGGAAAGTACACATTTTTATAGCATATTATGATTCGTGTAGACAATTCAAAATACTATTTCCTCCTTTTTTTCCTTTTTTTTATGCCAGTACTAGGTCTTGAATTCAGAGTCCTTTAGCTTTTTTACTCAAGGCTAGCACTTTACCACGTGAGCCACAGCTCCACTTTCAGCTTTCTTGTGGTTAATTAGCGTTAAGAGTCTCATGGACTTTCCTGCCTAGGCTGGCTTTGAACTGAGATTCCCATATCTCAGCTTCCTGAGTCGCTAGGTTTGCAGGTGTCAGCTACTAGCACCTGGCCCATTTACTTTTGACATTATTTCAAAATCATAGTATCTATTAGATCATCCACTAGACATCTCCCCCTTCTCTCCCTCACACTGTGGGGTTTGAACTCAGGCCTGGGGGCACTGTCCCAGAGCTCTTTTGCTCAAGGCTAGCACTCTACCAGTTTGAGCCAGAGCTCCACTTCCAGTTTTTGCGTGGTTAAGTGGAGATAGTCTCACAGGGACTTTTTTGCCTGGGCTGGCTTTGAACCATGAGTAGCTAGGATTACAGGAGTGAGCCACCAGTGCCTGGCTTTTTTACAGACATTAATTTTAATTGACAAAATTAATAATTAAATGCAATTCAATCATTTCAACATCAAGGAACTACTGGACTGCTATACACAACTGATCGACATGCTCTCATGAAAAATTAATATACTAAGTAAGACTGGCTAGGGGCTGGGAAGGTGGCTCAGTGGTAGAGTGCTTGCCTTGCATGCATGAGGCCCTACGTTTGATTCCTCAGCACCACATAAACATAAAAAGCCAGAAGTGATCCTATGGGTCAAGTGGTAGAGTTCTAGCCTTGAGCTGAAGAGCTGAGGGACAGCACCAAGGCCCAGAGTTCAGGCCCCATGACTAACAAAAAAAGACTGGCCAAAGTAAAGCCCCTGGCTGGTATTTTTAAATGAAGTATAAGCCTATAAGGAATTTAGTTTTTTAATATTATAAAGTGACGATAAGTCATCAAACTTTAACCTTTTGACTACTTAAGAAACCTAAAGGAAGGGAAAGATTGTCTTTTGATGTTATAATTTTAAGCCACAGATACTAAAACCTAAAATGTTAATGTCATCTCAGACAATGGCCAAAACTTCAGGAAAAAGTAGGATAATATATTGTTAAAGCCACCTTTAATATAATATAAATATTTTGAACAAGATCAAAGAAACAACTTAATCCACAATGAATCAAAGTTCAAAGAAATGTTTTTCTCTCTAATATAAAAGTGGAAAAGATTTTTCAGAAGAATTTTTAAATTACATTTTTATTGTATTTTTTCCATTATGATCCTCATGGATTCAATGTGTTTCAACTCTCTGGTAATAATTTTCCACAAATAAAAAGTTTTTATTGAGAAAAAATATATATATACAACATACAAGAAATAAAAAGAATCTAAAAGGATCTACGGTAGTCATCTTTAGATAGTAGAAGGGGAAAAGAAATTTGGCTTTTTAAAATTATTATATATTTTCTATGTGCAAAGATTCCTTCAAAGAAAAAGTTGATCCTTACAATAATAATAAATCACCAGAATATTTCCCTCAAAATAAATGCATACCTGCTGTGACTACACCGTGCATTAAAGTCTGCCTCCTCCTTAAGTGGGTGCACAATCTAGGTAAGAAGACATGACATAGTCTTGCGGAATAATTAAACAACTGTGAGACTCAATCATAAAACAAGCAGCCACATCAGTTCAGTTTTTAAGAACTGAAGCATTGCCAGGCACTGGTGGCTCATGCCTTTAATCCTAGCTGCTAAGGAGACTGAGATCTGAGGATCATGGTTCAAAGCCAGCTGAGGCAGGAAAATCCATGACACTCTTATCTCCAATAAACCACCAGAAAACTGGAAGTGGCACTGTGGCCCAAATAGTAGAGCGCTCGCCTTGAGCGAGCTGAGGGACAGTGCCCAGGTCCAGAGTTCAAGCCTCATGACAAAACAAAATAAAACAAAACCCTGAAGTTCAAAGGGAGTCCAAGTAATTGGGTACACCTTCAGAGAACCCTCAGAGGTCACTGCCATGCTGTCTTAGTAGTTAAGTGTCCAGCTCAGGGCTGGCTGATATTAAAACATGTTAAGCAAATGAAATTAAGGAGAGAACTTGCAGGAAATATTTCAGGAGACAAATCTACAACAACTGGAACAAAGGAAAATAAGGTTCAGATAATGCTGGGTTATAACAATGCAATCTCTATATTATCAATAAGTACATTTTCAACTTTTCTAATAAGGAAAATGAAAGTGTATATTTGGCACAGCAATGAAGCAATAATATGCTAGGCTACATGGGTATGTGATAGAAGGTGGCAGTGGCATAATCATAGTATGGAAGATATGCTGCAATTTAGCATAGGCTAGAATAGGCCTGACCAGGATTATCATGGGGATATGGGAAAAGCAGGAACCAGAGGTTACAATAAAAGCTTGGTAGATCCTACCAAGGAGGAAAGGGAAGTATTTCAGTCTTTTCCACAACTTTGTGCTTGGGTAACTGCAAAAACACTTTTACTCTTAAATGTTCTTTAGTGATCCATCCATACAGCAAACATTCATTGGTACTACTACATGAGGACTGTTAATCTTACAAAGAGGTACATTTTCCTAAACTGTGTGTGTGTGTGTGTGTGTGTGTGTGTGTGTGTGTGTGTGTGTGTGTATGTGTGTGTGTGTTTGTATGTGTGTGTCCTGGGGCTGAAACTCTGGGCCTGGGGGCTATCCCTAAGCTTTTGTGTGCAAGGCTAGCATTCTACCACTTGACCTACAGCTCGGCTTCTGGTTTTTTGGTGATTAAATGAAGAGTCTCACAGACTTTCCTGCCTAGGTCAGCTTTGAACAGCAATCCTCATGTCTTAGACTTCTGAATAGCTAGGATTACAGGTATAAGCCCCCAGTGCCTCACTCGCTAAGCCTTTTTTTTATTGAGTCCCTAACACTGATCTATACCAGAAATTAGGATAGGATGATAAAGTCAGTTTAAATCCTAAAAAGATGAGAGAGGAGGAAAAAAGCAAGGGCACCAAACAAATGCTACTCCTATAGCAGTGTCTTATCTTCTTCCTTCAGGCTGCTCATGATTTCCATTTCTCTCAAGTTCAGATAACATCTGAGTCCCAAACAAACTTAATAACCTAGTTTGATGTTCTAAGTACCAACACAAAAGTAAAAATTACAAGGTTTCAGTGATATCACTTACTTTATTGCTTTAGAACATTTCATTACACAACTGCATACAGTTAGATCCTAGATTTGGAGATCCCATTCTGAGTTGACATTTAAAAAATACTGCCAAGAATTTATTTATTTTATGGTGCTGGAATCCATTTTTAGCCTTTACATACTAGGCAAGTACTACATCACTAGTTTTCTCCTAGCTCCATCTGCCAAGGACACTTGGAATATTTTTGTTGTTGTTTTGGTTTGGCTTTTTAAAACTACAACAATAGAAAAAGAAAAGATCTCAATGGAATACCCTGTAAAAAATACACTGCAAAAAAAAAAAAAAAAGATAGTTGGTTAAACAGTAGCAAAGATTGCAGTACCTGGGGATTTCCACTTAACCTTTCCCTAAAATCATTCCAAAAGAAACTATGTGATCTTATCAAAGTCCTTCATCCATGTATTTCTCAATCTTCCCCTCCCAAGAAACCAAATCTACTTACACTGAATCAAGAAGGATTCCATTTCCTTCTCTACCTAAAACTCACAATAAATCAACATCAGCAGTTGCCTCAAAGACTCACTCTTCCTTTCTGCTCCAGTACATTTTGTGTAATTGGAATTACTACAAATCCCAACATAGAAATAAAAGTACTTACGTCACACAGCAGTTGGGAAGATTAAACCATTTCAGCTTGTTTATTCAATGATAAATAACCCAGTTAATATTTATATAGATGCAAACTTCAGACTTAATTTCCAACTTGTAAAAATCTAAAGTCTTAGTCAAGGAACTTAGGCAGCAGCATAGAAATAACCTTACAAAGTAGGGAGCAATCAGACCATCATAAAGTGTATATTGGAAAATGAGTTTTAAGTAACAAGCCCTTGGTATTCACCTCCATATGTCCTTAGGATCATAGGACATTAGGTGCCTTGAAGAATACTATCTGTGTAGCTTTGGGCAAGACATTTCATTTTCCACATATGTTTCCCCTTTTAGAAAAAGATAATTGTCTCCAAGGCACTGATAGTAATAAAGGTCACAAGAATGACAGAAATCAGAGATGGCTTCAAAGAGAATGAAGGACTGCAGACCAGACTCAGAGGAAGTGAAGAGTTTGAATCAATGTTAGAAAAGCACAGGATAAAGAATATCACCTATGCTATCTCCTTAATTTTAGTACTTACTTTGGGGGCTTGAAAAGCTGTTCATCAAGCTTAGTCCCTCAAGGAATCAGTAACTGCTGAGGACCTACTTTGTACTGTATATCACTCAAAGAATGGATAGCATTTTCTACTTCAAGAAACAGGGAAAAGTGGTTTAAGATTAAGACAGATCAAAACTAAAAATATCGGGGAAAAAACAAATTGTTTTAATTGGGATACAGGTGGACCCATTGCAACAATGAGATGTACAAGATGTTACATCGAAAAATGAACTTTACAACTTTGGCAGGGGGAGGGGAGAGAGATGGGAGGTCAGGGATGGTAAGGGGAAACAAAGGAGGTGGCAACAATGCTTGATAAGAAATGTATACATTACCTTGCTCACGTAATTGTAACCCCACTGTACGGTATTTTCACAATAAAAAACTTATTAATTTTTAAAAAAAAACACTAAAAATAATCAAGTCTCAAAAATGAAATAGAGCCGGCACTGGTGGCTCATGCCTGTAAAGCTACTCAGGAGGTCAAGGTCTGAGGATTGTGGTTCAAAGCTAGCCCAGGCTTTGAAAAGTCTGTGAGACTCATACCTCCAATTAACCACCAAAAAACTGGCAGTGGCACTGTGGCTCAAAGTGGTAGAGCACTAGCCTTGAGCAAAAAAAGCTCAGGGACAGAGCTCAGGACCTGAATTCTAAGGCCCACAGCCAGAAACACACACACACACACACACAATTCTAAGGCCCACAGCCAGAAACACACACACACACACACACACACACACACACACACACACACACACACAAAATTTTTAGATCTGGGAACCAGTGTCTCAGACCTATAATCCTACCTGCTTAGGAGGCTGAGATCTGAACATCCCAACTAGCCTAGGTAAGAAAGTCCATGATATTCTTACCTCCAATTAACTACCAAAAAAAGCTGGAAGTGGAGTTGTGCTCATGTGATAAAGCACTAGCCTTAAATACAAAAACTGAAGGACAGTACCCAGGCACTGAGAGTTCAAGACCCAGCACCAGAAAAAAAAAATTAACTTGCTTTTGCCATTTCACCATTTCTCCACTAAAACCAAATTTAACATGCTACCAGAATTAAACATGGGTAAGCTTTTTGACTATGTAGATCAACCCATTGTGTGGGAAAAAATGTTTTTACATTAAATTTTCAAAATCCTAACCCTAGCTGTCTTTTGCTACAGAAAACAGTACTTGTTTGACAGCTGTGGAAATATCCTACACTTTTCAACAGTGGTTTATGATAGAGCAATGGATTTATCTAACAAAAGCACAACATGTGTATCAGTACTTCCTTCTGTCCTGTGTATTCCAAAGCTCAGCCAAAAGCAGAGAAAATAAAGTACAGATGGTCAGGATATCCTAAACTGCTTGGTTTGCTTTATGTCATTCCAGAGAGAAAAGCTATTCACAGTTAGAAATTAAAATTAAGCACTGACACATCTTGGGTGGTAGGTTCTGAGTCTGAAAGGTAAACCTTCCCCATCCTAGTCTCTAGGCACTAGGGAAGTTGGGAAGGCCTGAAGCCTCTGTGTAAAGGAAAATAGGAAGGAAGGAAGAGGTATGCCAGCGGCTCACTCCTGTAATCCTACTCAGGAGGCTGAGATCTGAGGATCATGGTTCAAAGCTAGCATAAGCAGGAAGGTCTTTAAGACTCCTATCTCCGGAAATGTATTCAATACCTTACGTAGCTGTAGCCCCTCTGTATAGTATCTTTACAATAAAATCTATTTTAAAAAAAGAACAAAAAAAGAATTTTTGTTGTAAAGGTGATGTACAGAAAGGCTGCAGTTACCTAAGTCAGGTAATACATACAATTATTTTTCAACAGTGTCATCCTCTCCCTCATTTTCTCCCAGTTTTTCCCCTCCAGACTTTTACCCACCCGGCCCCCTGCAAGTGGTATAGTTCACTTCCAACATAGTGGCTAATGAGTATCACTGCTGTTTATTGGTCTTTGGAATCATTGTTTTGGTTAAATGATTAGATGAGGTCTAATAACAATCATTATCTTAGAGACTTTTTCTGATGTTTTTCTCTGTATATTTTCACATTACCCTGCAAAAATTGTATTATTTATTCTAAGCAGAAGTGTCTATACTGAGTAAATTTCTTATTAAGTCTGCTGACTTAAATGTTAATGCAGTCTAAACATATCATCACAGAAAAAAAACTATTTGAATAATAAAAAAAAATCTGGAAAAGAAAAAAAAAAGACTTTTATCCCCAACTAACCACCAAAAGAGCCAGAAGTAG